GGGGGGGGAGGTAGGATGGCGTTGTCGCTCCCGTAGAAGGTAGCCGCTCACTTCGGGGCGCGGGGAGTGGTTCCCAAGCCGGGAATAACAATCGCGCTCGCAAAGGGTGTTGTGGAAAAGAAAAGAAAAAATAACATACCAACGACCAAATGGGAAAAGGCAGGAACAATAGCCTGATGTGCGCTTGTAGGATGCGACAAACTCTCCGATGATTCCTTCAGAGGATGCAGTAGACAGGCAAAAACAAACGAAAACAAAACTAACCTCTCCCATGTCGATACCCTCGGAGTAGTAGTCCATGCCCATGGCGTCGAGCGCCACCGAGAGGGGGCCGTTAAGGATGAGCCATCGGGCCATGGCCTCCTCGGTCATAGAGTCTTCGGCGAGAGCGACCTCGATCGAGAGGGTGGCCGCGTAGTTACCTTCCTTCACAACGTCCGAGCATACCGGGTCTCCCAGGTGACCGTTCATGAACACCTAGGGGCGACGCAGAACAATGGGGGGAGGGGTTGATTAGGCTGGGCGGTTCTCCGCGGGTGAGCGGAATAAGCGGATGGTGGAGGTGGAAGAGTCTCGGAAGACACCAATACGCGGCCTCAATCTGAACACAACAAGCTGCATGCTACAGGTAGGCGTTGCCGAGCTCTCGTACAAACTTCCGCAAAACGCAGACTTCCAGCACATCCAGTCGTCGGTGACAATTATGACGTGCAGCAGCAGTCATGTGGAAAAAACACCAAAACACAACCACGTACAAAAATCCCCGGAATGAAAAACGCCTGCGTAAAAACTTCAAAGACAGCATTGATTCACACACAGAACGCGAAAAGAGGCCTCTCTCTCAGAAAAAACCACCACACCTTCCGGTAAGGGTAGATAGACTCCGGCACGATGCCGCCGTTCTCGCTGATGTAGTCCATCGAGATGCTGGGCCAGCCGCCGTTGCAGCCCTGGTTGTAGGACGTGTCGCAAGCCACGAGTTGCTGCTCCGACAGCGACTCGAGAGGGTGTCCTGAGAGGTACCACGCCCCCTCCAGACAGCCTGTCGTGCTGAAGGTCCAGCAGGATCCGCAGTACGCCTGCTCAAGATAAGCGGGGTGCAGGGGTGAGGTGGGGTGAGTTATTAACCCTGAGACTCATCGTCTACAACGCAGTACAAAATAGAGAGAGGTGTATGAGTGAACATCCCGTGCTTCATGTTAAGCAAGCGGCTAAAACGAACCGAGTAGCCGAACGTACCTGGTTCTTGACAGGGGTGACGGCCCCGTAGTCTCTCCAGTCGAACTCGGTGGGGAGGTCACCGGTGATGTACTGCTCCAGCTCCGGGAACCGGGTGCAAGACTGGCAGGACTCATAAATGTCCGACATGTCTGCCTTCGATTTGGCTTTCGATCTTGCCACCTCCTTCGCTTCGTCTGAGACCTGTCAGGAGGCGTTTCAAACGGTGGGGGGGGGGGGGGG